GGCAGTGGTGGCGGCGGTGTCGCCAAGCCGTCGGATGCTGCGCTCAACTCGCTGTTTGTCAAGAAGCGCCGATGAGGTGGCGTGGCGGCGCGGGTCGACGATGGATGGACTCGGAATCATAGAGGCGGTAGTAGACTGTGGCGCGGCCTGTGCAGCGTGGCGATGTCGGGCGGGGGTCAGCAGCAGCAGCAGCAGCAGCAGCAGAGTGTGTGTGATGGGGTCGCGCAGGCACCTGGCGTACAGCTCTGCTAGGTGGGCCGCCACAGACACAGCCCGGACGACGACGTGGAAAGAATAGGAGTAGTGTCGAGGGTTGCGAGGGGCTTGGCAGTCACGACGGGCGGAACGAGCGAGCCAGACGCCTGTGCCGAAAGCAAGATGACCTCCGTCGGTCTTGGAGTTTTCCTTTGGCCCGGGCCCGGGCCCGCCCAGCCAATTTTGAGATGCCGGGCGGGGATTGACGGCTTCGGGGGTCGAGAAACGCAGGCAGGCAGGCGGGCAGGCACGCACGATGATCCTCGGCTGCATGGCTGCGTGCCTTGGTTGCTTTGTGAGGGGAAGCGGGCAGGGCAGGGCAGGGTAGGGCGCGCCAAGCCATCGTTGCCATGCAGAGAGAGCCAGCAAGCTAAGCAACGCCAGAGTTAGGCAGCAACGTGACAGAAGCAAGAGGCAAGGCAAAGTGGTCGGACACGGTTGCCTACCTGCCTGCCTGTCTAGCTGCGTCTGCGTTCAAGCCGCGGTAGGGTAGGGTCGAGTGTGCGAATTCGCAATGGGCAGATGGAAGAAGGCAGGCATGCTTATGGGCGGGCGAGCGAGGGAACTGCGTGCTGCGTGCGTGTTGTTGCAGAGGCCGGTAGAGGTAGCCCAGGGCGGGCAGGGCTAGGCTAGGCTACATAGGCTAGGGTGAGGCTGGGGACCGAGGCTAGGGAGAGATGGACCCTGTCTGCCAGGCAGCGTCGATCCGCTTGACCAAGCCAGCAGCCAGGCAGGCAGGCAGGCGGAGCGCGCTGCACACACGTACTCTGCACACTTTCTTCGGTCGACCGCGTGTAGCAACGCACGCAGCCTCGCTCGCAGGTAGGCGTAATCATGCCTGCCCCCGCCCTTGTCCCTCGAGTGGTGGCCCAGGTCTGGACCAACGCCACCCACCTTGCCCTGCGTGTTGGTCGGGTGCTTTTGATGCTACGCTGCTGTCCAACAGCGGAGAGGCAGGCGCAGGCGCAGGCTGGGTCGAGCCCAACCGGGAGCCACCAGGTTGAGCGAGGGCTCAAGGATGGCCTAACGAAGCGTTGGACCGAGCGGCAAATCGAGTTGCGAGGCGAGGCCTAGGCAGAAAAACACGCACCCACGCACGCGCCCGCCTGCCTGCCTGACAGAGAGGAGGAGCAGAGGGGCGGCGGACAGCTCCGACCCCGACAGCTCCGACTCGAGTCTCGTCGAGGCAGGCTGACGGGCCAGGGCCAGGGCGCGGGCCGCCGACGCCCCTTCGGTGCCTGCCGCGCCTTCCCCGCCCCGCCTCGCCTGGCTTCCTTTCATCGTCACCACCACCACCACCACCACCGACGGATCGCCACCGTCTCTCCAGCTCCCTACACTATCATCCCATACCCCTCCCGCCCTCCCTCCCTGCCTCCCTGCCTCCCTCATCATCCATCCACCCGCCGTCGCTCTGGCCACCCACCCTTGACGACCCACCCCCGCTTGCCTTGCTTATACACCCACGCACGCGCTCTTGCTCCACCGCCTCGCACCGCACCGCACCGTCTCGCCTCGCCATTGCTCCATCTCGCGATCTGATACCACCACCACCATCATCCCTGCTCGACCCACTCGCCCGCCCAGATGTCGTCCAGCAACTCCTCGGCACGCTCATAGACGCCGCGGCCCACCCCCCTTCCCGTGTCACACAGACGGCTGCGGCGGCCACCCTCTCCATCCCCCCCACCCTACTAGCCTGCCTGGCCAACACGCGGCGCACCCTCCTGCTCCATCCTCCAATCACTTCCGCCGCCGCCGCCGCCGCCGCCGCCGCCCACCATGTCCGACTTTGAGGGCAAAAACTTCAACACCGGCTTCCAGGGCCTCGTCACCACCGCAGCCATCTTTGCCGGAGTAGGCGGCGCCGCCATCATCGGCTACGAGACTCTCCGCCAGCTCCGCCGCCTGCCCAAGGTCGAGTTCGTCCGCTTCTGGAAGCAGAAGCGCGCAGACCGCGAGGGACACGGCGGCGTCGATGGCGCCGCAGACCCGGAAGCCACCGCCGGCGCTGGCATCGGCACTCGCTCCAAGCTCACCTGCGAGGACTGGGAGATGGGCCATTTCTACCAGGCTCGCATGTTTCACGCAACGTGAGTCCCGCCCCTCTCTCGCCGCTCGCACGCACGCGCCCTGCGGCACGACTGACGCGGCTGCCTGCCCTCTTCCCCACCCTTGTCTCCGCCAGCACCCCGTCGCCGCCGCTCTCGCGCTGGCCGTTTGGCTGGATCAAGCAGGCCATCAAGTTCTCGGACCAGTTCTACGCCGAGCACACGGGCATGGACACGGTCGTCTACGTCCGCTTCCTCCGCGCCTGCCTCCGCTGGACCCTCCTCCACACCCTCACCACCGCAGTCATCCTCCTCGTCATCCACATCAAGTACAGCAAGGGCGTCGCCGCCACCGACATGTCGCGCGCATCGCTCTCCTACCTCGTCACCGTGCCCGGCCCCGGCTGCGACGACATCGGCGACACGAGCTGCGCGCGACTCCCAAACGAGCAGGGCCGCTCCCTCCTCTGGATCCACCTCTGCCTCATCTGGTACATCACCCTCACCTGGCTCTACGCCCTCTGGTGGATCGCAAAGGGCTCCCTCCGCATCCGCCGCGGCCTCATCCAGCAGACCCGCGACCGCATCATCGAGTCCCGCAGAAAGGCCGCCGAGGAAAAGCAGCGCCTCGCCCAGGCGGAGCATGAGGGCGGCCAAGGCAGCCACGACAGCGTCGACGGCAGCACCTCGCCGCACCCCAAGCTCGCCCTCGGCTCGGCACAGGGCCTGCCTGCCGACACCAGCGAGGGCTGGAGGCAGCGCACCCTCATGGTCATGAACCTGCCTCCGACCATGCGCGACGAGGCGAGCATCCGACGCTACTTTGAAGAGTTCCTCCGCCCAGACGATGCCAGCATCCTCTCTGACTCGCACGACGGCGGCGACGCCCGCCACGTCGATGACGAGGACGAGGACGAGGACGAGGAGCACCGGTCCGGGCGTGCCAACGGCGGCGGAGCGGGGCGGGCCGAAGGCGACGCCAGCCTCGAGATGGGCAGCTCCGAGGCGGACCACTCGCGCAGGGGCCTCGTGTCGATGGACCACGAGCGGAGCAGCTCGGGGCGCCACCGCTCGTCAAACGCCGGCGACGCGCCCGTGGGCCCCGAGCCGGACCTCAACCCGGACCGCCACCTCAAGAGCCCCGTGCAGACCGTCGTGCTGGTGCGCAAGATGAACGAGCTGTCGTCGATGCTGGGCCGAAGGCAGGACGTCCTCAACCAGCTCGAGGCCGCGCACATCAAGCTGGCGCAGAACGTCATGGCGACCGTTGGGCGGCGGACCATCAAGTTGCGGCGGCGGGCCAAGCGCGATGCCGCCAAGACCAGGGCCGAGGACGCGGCCGACGAGCGGGTCAGTTGGGGTCACCGCCGAGGCGTGCTGGGCATCGTCACCGACTTCTTTGGCAAGCTCGGTCGCCGCCGGGCCGCGAAGGGGGAGGGTGGCGGCGGCGGCAGCAGCGGCAATGGCAATAGCCGGCATGCAGCCGGCGACCCCATGCCCGACAGCGAGCCCGCCTCGGGCGCGCACACGCCCGACCAGCTTGAGCTGGATCTGGAAAAGATGGCGCCGGCCCACCTCACCGACGAGGCCAAGGCCAAGATCGACGACCTGGCGCGGCGGCTGGCGCGCTTCTCGCCGGCCAACGCCGGCCTGCACGGGCGCGAGCAGCCGCTCATCGGCCAAGACGGCGAGGGCAAGGACAACGAGATGCACGAGACGGTGTGGGAGGCGCTGGCCGAGGTGCCGCGCGAGATGCTTGACCCGTACCAGCCCGTGACGCGCCTCTCGGCCCTCTTCCGCGGCCAGACGGTGCCGACGATCGACTACCTGCTGACCAAGCTCAACCTGCTGACGGCGCTCGTCACCGAGATGCGCTCGCGCCCGCCGACGAGCTACGAGCCGACGTCGACGGCCTTTGTCACGTTCCGCGACCCGCGCCAGGCGCGCATGGTGTGGCGCGAGCTCAAGAGCCAGATTGTGGTCAAGGTGCGGCTGGCGCCCGAGGTCAAGGACCTCGACTGGGAGCGCCTGATGCGCACCTCGTTCACCGGCGACCTGGTCCGCGGCCTCGGCGTCAACGTCGGCTTCTGGGCCTTTACCATCTTCTGGGTCATCATCATCAACATCATCACCAACACCCTCTTCTCGGTGCAGTCGCTCAAAAAGGTGCTGCCGGGCGTCCAGCAGTTTTTCGACTCGCACAAGAGCTTCGAGGCCTTCCTGTCGATCACGCTGCCGACCGTCATCGTGTCGCTGATCACCATGTCGATCCCCGAGCTCATCTTCCAGACGAGCAAGCGCGCCCAGGGCTTCGTCACCTTCAGCGCCCTCTACGACATGTGCCTCATCCGCTACTGGAAGTTTGTCATCTGCAACATCGTCATCTTCTTCTGCGTCGGCGTCACGACGGTCAAGGCGATCCTGTCGCAGGTCGACGAGTCCGGCCGGATCCTCGACAACATCGCCTTCAGCTTCCCGACGGCGGCGCCGTTTTTCGTGTCGTACATGATCCTCCAGCTGGCGCTCCAGTCGGGCTTTGAGCACGTCGGCTTCATGATTGCGCTGCTGCAGCACCTCGGCGCGCGCAAGGCCGTCACGCCGCGGACGCGCGCCCTCAAGACGCTGCCGCGCAACTTTAACCGCTACTACTGGCTGCCGCTCCACATCAACATCATGGCGATCCAGTTCATCTTTGCCGTCCTCAACCCGCTCGTGCTGCCGTTTGCCCTCGTCTACATGGCCGTGGCGCTCGTCGTGTTCAAGAAGAACTTCGCCTACCACTACTACCGCCGCTTCAACGAGATGCAGGGCGTCGTCTACTTTGTCCGCATCCTGCGCTACAGCCTCGACGCGCTCACCGTGATGCAGGCGGTGCTCCTCATCTTTTTCAGCGTCACCCACCAGGGCTCGGTCTACATTGGCATGACGGCCGTCCTGATCCCGCTCACCGTCATTGTCAAGCTGCTGGCCACGCGCCTGTGGAAGTCGCAGTGCCGCGCCGTCGAGGACGAGGAGGCCGAGGCCGTCTGCGGCATCGACTCGCGCGCCACGCGCTGGGGCGAGAAGCACGACCGCAGCGACTACGGCGAGGCCGCCCACGACGACGCCCTCGACAGCCGCAGCCCGCTCGACGCCCGCGCCAGCGGCCGGTACCCGTCGATTGTGCCGCCGCCCCAGACCGGGTCGACCTTCTACCGCGCCTGGCAGCGCGTCCACGACTCGTTCAACGCCAACGGCATGGACAAGATGAGCTACCTCGCCTCGGCCCACGCCAAAGGCCAGAAGGTCCACCACCCGCTCGAGGTGGGCGCCAAGACGCTCGCCAAGACGCCCGAGCACCTCCTCAAGCGCACGGCGGCCCAGGGCAAGCACCTCACCTCGGCCGCCAAGCACCACCTCGGCCTCGACCCGCTCGCCGGCGGCGGCGGCGGCGGCAGCAATAACAACTCGAGGAGCAGCGTCGACCGCTACGGGCCGGACCACTCGTCGCAGCGCAGCGCGCCCTCCTCGCGCCCGGCGACGGGCAACGCCCCCGGCAAAAAGAACCGCACCATCAGCTTCAACCAGGCCGAGCCGGCCGACGAGACCAACGAGCAGATCCGCCACGAGCTGCGCGTCGCCCGGGCCGTCTCGAAGCGGCGCAAGGGCGACTACGGCCGCTCGCGCGCCTCGACCCTGGGCCTCACGCGCGGCAACAGCACCAAGAGCGAGGAGCGCCCCTTTCTGTCGGGCTACGACGCCGTCTCGGCCCACGCCCCCGTCGCCAGCGAGGACGACACCGAGCTCAGCTTCGCCGACGGCGACGCGCCCTTCCTCGAGCTGCACGAGGAGATGGCGCGGTCGAGGAGCATCAAGCGCACCGCGAGCCGCCGCCTGGCCTACAGCCACAGCACGCTCAAGCAGCGCCGCCGCGGGCAATTCCCGGCCCTCGACGCCGAGCTCCTGCACAACGGCCTCGGAACGCCCATCCGCGAAGTCTCCGAGTTCGGCGGGTCGCACCAGACCGAGGCCGCGGCGCGCAAGATGGCCGAGGCCAACGCGGACGGCGAGCGGCTGCCCAAAGAATCGTCGCTCGGCAAGGCGCTCCGCTCCGACGGCGACGTCGTTGACGATGGTTCCGAAGGCTCGTACTACGGCGACAGCGACGAGGAAGACGAGGACGACGATGCAGCCCGTCCGCTCGTGTGCCCGCATGCACCCGTGCGCTGGGACGACACGCCGAGCAACGTCGCGCGGTACAACAACCCGTTCTACAACCGCGAGCTCGACCCGTACCTCTGGCTGCCGCGCGACCCGCTCGCCCCGCTCGACCTGTGCGACACGATCGAGTGGCACGGACCGGCGCTCGTCAGCTCCCAGGGCGGTCCCGGCCGCGTCGGCGAGTGGGACGACGACGATGACGACGACGACGACGAGACGGGCGACGGCACCGACGGCGACGGTATCCGGTTCGGGGGCGAGGCGGGCGACGAGAAGCTCACCCACCTCGACCTGCTCGATGGCCACGAGGAGATCATGGTCTCGAGCGCCCTGGCGCGCCACCTGGAGCAGGTCGAGGACGTGGACCAGGCGCCGGATCCGGCCGCGAGCCTGCCCAAGAACCTGATGGAGGACTACAAGCGTGCGCTGCGGCGGCAAGACGCCAGCGTCGACGGCCTGGCGACGACGACGAGCCAGGCGTCGTCGGACGGCACGTTCATGGGCGGCAACCGCAGGCTCAAGCACGTGGCGAGCGGCGGCGCTGGAGGCGGCGGCGGCGGCGGCGGCGAGAGCTTCAAGTCGCCGACGCTGTCGGCCCGCATCCTGGCCGACGAGCGCTTCGCCGGCCTGGAGCCGCTCGACCTGACGGCGTCGACGCTGCGCGCCAGCTCGAGCATCGACACCGAGATGGCGTCGCCGCAGACGGCCCTGTCGGACGGCTCGCAAACGCTTCCGCCGTCGATCTCCCTCCAGATCCCACAGCGGCGATCGAGCGGCGCCTCGACGGTGCAGCGCCTCAGTCCGGGCGCCGTCAGCCCGATGGCGCTGCGGAGGACGACGAGCACAGAGAGCCGGGATCCGCTGGCGCATACGCCCGACGAGGCCGAGGATCCGATCGCGCGGCAGGAGGTCTTGGCGTCCGAAGACCACTCGACGTCGACGGCGTCGCCCATGACGCCTCGGCTGCGGGCGGGCTCGTCGGGCGGCGCAGGCAGCAGGCGACCGGGCACCTCGGACACGATCAACTCGAGCGCGACGACGACGGGCGGCGACCGACGGCGCATGGCCGTGAGCCACTCGGGCGTGTCGTTTGCGCCGGCCGAGGAGGGTGCCGAGTTTGGGCAGACGCTCAGGAAGCCTCGGCCGAGCCCGGGGCACCCGAAAAGGCGCGGCTCTGGCGTCTACAGCCAGGGCGGCGGACCGGGACCCGGCTCGATGGCGAGCACGAATGCGAACCGGGTCGTGACGCTGCGTGCGGCGCTCAAGGCCGAGGCGCTGGAAGAGGAGCGGCGCTTCACGCTCAAGGAGAAGCTGACGAAGCGCGGGCGCAAGTCCAAGGGCGGCGGCGAGGCCAAGGCGGGCGACGGCGACGACGAGGGCGGTGCGGCGGCCGACGATGGCGACGGCGCCGAGAGCAGTGCTGCGGGCCTGGGTGCGGGCGGGGGGTCGGGCATGCACCGCACGGGCTCGATCATGGCGCGGTACGAGGCGCGGCAGCGTCGTCGCGAGAAGAACGCGAGCGAGTTTGGGCTCGAGGGCAACATCCACGAGAGCCCCGAGGACGAGGGCGCGGGCGCGGGCGCGGGTGTGGGCGAGTACAGCATCGCGCCGGCGACGCAGATCAACGACGCGTCGGTGCCGTCGTGGGTGCGCAGCCCGCGCGACACGGGGGCGAGCCGGTTCAAGGTGGCGGCGCTGGGCGCCCTCAGCCTGGCGCGGGCGCACACGACGGCGACGGGCCGGCAGAGCAACAACGCGGCCAAGGGCGGCGGTGGCACCAGCAGCGGTGTCGGCAACGAGGCGGCGGCGGCGGCGGCGGCGGCGACGAGCCAGGCGGATCGGCTGGCCCAGGCGCGCAGCCAGTGGGATCAGCGGTACGCCTCTGGTGGCTCCGAGTTGCAGATGAAGGAGCTGGGCAAGGGCGGCGGTGGCGAGGCAGGCGACACCGGCGGTGATGGTGTCGCTGGCGCCGACGACGAGGGCGATGCGCCGACACCCCGACCGCAGGACCAGGACCGGGCGCTGTGACCGGTGCCAGACGATGCCGGCTGGTTGATCAGCTTCCGGATAGATGAGTTTAAATCGCCCCCTGTTTCC